TGCCTTCGAGTCCATGGCAGCTCATGCCAACCCTGCAAGACAAGGAAGACCTGCCCCTGCGGGTTTCTGAGACCGTAACTCTTTAGGGGAGTAGACAGCCTCAATATCCCACTAAATCAGGACATGACTTTGGAACAGACAGCTTTCTGCGGCGGAGCAGAGACGCGGTTGCAGGAGCCTGCTGTGTGGCGAGAAAAGGTCTGTCACCAAGGCTGGTGGCCTTCTGTGGAGGCTGCTTCCGCTGCTTCTCGGGCTCCCAGCTTCTGGCTGCCATCTTGTTACCAAGCCTTCCCCCTCATATCAGTTATCTCTTCCCTCCGAACCAGCTGCGCTTGCACTTTGTGTTGTCAACCAAGCATGAGCACCATCCGCTCCATCCGTTTCTGCAGTCAACCCTTCATTTTATGCGGCAGTAACTCCTGCCATTCACTTCTCTCCCTCTTCCTCCTCGCTCCTCTCTCCCTTTTGAAAAAACAGCTGTATTGACATAAACAACCCCCCTTTGCCCCTCCTCACCTTTTCTCTCTCTCATCTTGCTCTGCTTCATGCGTTCCCAAGCAGGCGCCCCCGGCGAAGTGGAAGCCACGGAAGCTCTCCAAGACCCCCGAGAAAAAGCTCGCGCCATTCCATGTTTTCCCCCTCAAAAGTCGAGTCCCAAAAGGGAGACTCCTTGGCTCCTGCTTGGGTCCCCGGCCCTTCTTGGAATCAGTCACTGGCCGGGAGGCCTGAGATATTCTGGTGGACAAGCATGGTGTCACCTGCCCCATTAGGGTGAGGGCTGATGGGCCGAGAGGGGGTGGATCCCAAAAGGAACCAGGGGGCACTGCCACTGGGAGAAGATGAGACGGATCTGGCCACACCAACACAATGGATGTCCCCCATGCCGGCTTCCTCTGAGCAGAACGTTCTCTCTGATGCGGGTTAGAGGTGCTGTTGGTGGCAGGGTCCCGGCAATGAGACTGCCCGGCCTGGTTGATTGAGGAGCGTTCACTAACAGCATTTGGCACAGCTGCGGACAAGGTGGAGGGAGATTGACAACAGATAGTGCAACACCTGGGGGCTTGCAGCATCCATACAGCCTGCCAATACAAGGGGGGGAAGAACCAGAACCGGGAACAGAAAGAGGTTGGGACAAGACAGCCTGGCAGAAGCTGTAGCCTTCTTGGTAGGGAGGCCCAGCCAGAGCACGCGGTGGAGCAAGGCAGGAAGTGGGGACACCCTGTCTTCCCTTTCGCCTTTCTTGCTGGTGCTCCTTGCAACACACACACACACACACACACACACACCCCACACACACACACCCCACACCCCCCCAGCATTCTGAGGGCTCAGCCCCGATGGTTACCTGTTGGGTTTTTAACCATAAGGTCAGCAGTTCAAAACCACCAGCCGCTCACGGGAGAAAGACGGTTTGTTTTATCAGTCTGCAGAGTGTTGACAATGCCTGCAGTCTTGTCAGCTGGTTCACGTGGCCTGAAACTTCAGATGTTGTGTCCGTTAAGACTTGGTGTGTGGTTTGTCACATGAATCTCTTGCTGTCGGATCCTGATACAGAAGCTAAAGACACTGGCCACACGCTACAAACAGAGACATCCACCTTTTTCACGTTCACACCCTGAATATGCACACGAAAGTGTGTTGGTTAGGTTAAGTGCCATCAATTTGGTTCCAACTCCACGTGGCCCTATAGACACAACAGAAGGAAACGCTGCCCAGCCCTCCACCTCCCTCACGATCGTTGTTGCCCATCGCTGCAGCCCCTTCACTTGTTGAAGGTCTTCCTCGTCCTCACTGACCACTGCTTTACCAAGCAGCATGTCCTTTGCTGGGGACTGGTTCCTTCTGATAAGGTGTCTCAAGTGTGTGAGGCGAAGTCTCGAGACCCGCATTTCCCAGGGGCATCCTGCCTGTACTTCTTCCCAAACCGAGCTTTTGCCTCCTCTGGTAGACCACAGCCCATTCGCGATGGTCTGCAAACCCCACCGTTCAAACGCACCCTTTGCTCTGTCCCTGTGGTCTTCCTTACCGTTGTCCAGCTCTCACATGCAAAGGAGGCCACTGCAAGTGTCAGG